TTGACCTGTCTGAAAAATGAAAATGAAGCACCCAATTTCATATTACTAATTATGTTAGGTATAACAGCTTGCCTCTACTCTATGTTCCCCGATTTGACACAAAATCTCATATTTGATTTATAACATACTAAAACGTTTATCTAAATTGTAAAAAACTCCAAACGAAACAATTACCGATGTATGGACTCGTTAAAATAAGTCAGCATTTGCTGTGTATTTTAGACTAGACGCCATCGAAGTAAAAGAGGTGCGAAAGTTACCAAAGGGACATTCAAATTCATAAGGCGAAAATAAACTGACAACGCCATGGCAAAAAAAAAGAAAAGGACCAAAAGACAAACAACAGTCCACAAAACACAACATAGAAAACTAAAAACTGAGCAACACGAACCCCACCAAAAATCTGGGGGTGATCTCAGGTGCTCCAGAAGTGTAAGCAGTCCCTGCTCCACATGTAGCAGTTGCGATTGAAAACAATAAACTATTGAAGCCACACCCACAGTCATATATAGTCAAACACTGATGATTCTACACTACTTCACTTTTCTAATATTTCTGTTCATTCATTAAAAAAGTTATGGAGTTCATTTGAATTGTTTGCTCTAATCATACACCATGTTTAGTCAAGTTATCTGTGTGACTTTTGATTTCATTGCCGGACATTCTACGCTGTCTTTATGTTGCTCCCCAACAGTATTCCTCACGCCAAATATGTAATGAATGATGATATGAGTCCTAATAAAGACAATTTGGTTATGGAAAACCGAATATGAAAACGTGCTGATTTTAGCTGAAATTTCAACATGTTAGTAATCATAAATAACAAACAAAACGACACTAGCTGATTGACCATGTTTAATTACAAAAAAAGCAGATTAGATACAATGCATAATACGGACAAATTTCTTAAAAATGATGTTATTATATACACAATACTTCACAAAGAGCTTTCAGTGGAATCACATGATATTGTTTTGAGTAACAATTCGTATGTGAAGATAATTCATAACGATGGGGGGTTCTTCATTTCTGTATTCTTTAATTCATTGGACCATTTTTCTCTATTCTTTATAAATTTTGCCCATTGTTCTCTATTCTTTATATTTTAGCACTCCATTATTTTCTATTATTGGCCCTTTATTCTCTATTCTGTAAACCCCATACAGACAGACCTTCATAAATGAAATGTCATGACATCGCAATCAATTTATTTTGATTATTTTTTTAAAACAACATTAACAAATACAATTCCAAGGTCGGAATTTATAAAGACTGTTAATGGAAATATTTTAATAAGGCATTACTTAAATCTACATAGAGAAAATAAGAAAAACTTACATTATTAAGTTCTTTCCAAAATACATTAATGTAAAATAAGATGTGATATGATTGCCAATGAGACAACTATCCACCAAAGTTTACATGAAGTGGATGTAAGCAATTATAGGCAACCGTACGGCCTTCAACAATGAGAAAAACCATTACAGTATAGTCGGCTATGCAAAATATGAAACAATTCAATTGAGAACACTAACGGCCTAATTTATAACAAACCAATTTACGAACAACAAATATGACAGACATGAACCAACGACAACCACTGAACTGCAGGCTCCTGGCCTGGGACAGGCACATAAAGAACGTGGCGGGGTTAAAATATGTTTGTGAGCGCTCAACCCTCCCCTAACCTGGGACAGTGGTGTTATAGCACAACATTAGAACAAACTATAAAAATCAGTTGAAAAGGGCTTATCTCGTCAGATCGATACAAGACAGAAAGACATCTAACAAACACAGACCGGACATGGCATGGTATGTATACATCCCTAACAACAAAAAGACACACAAAGTACAGATCTGAGAGTACTCGCAGTTACTGACAGCTAGTTCAAAGCCAATAACAACTAATAAAAAATCATGTACGTAAGACTAAAATATCAATCAGTACACATCCAACATCCAATGGATTTAGTGTAAAGACGTCATTAACAGTGAGAAAAACATGACCTTGCGCAATACATTTATAATAGCTTATCAAGTATACAACAATGTAAATTGACTTCAAAGATTTCTAATACTAAACTGACAATCAAAATCAATTATTGTATAAATAAAAGAAGATATAGCTTTACTTAAATGTGACAACAACCCGACAACGCACAAAAAAAAATCACACAGGAAAAGCAGATAGCAACATACAGGCAATTAAAATCCAATTAGTTTTCTTTGTTTTAAATATGCATGAATCTTAACACTGAAAATGCTACAATCCTGTAATGCTGAGGTTATCATTTATTGAATGATGATGTTGATCAATTTGTTAATTTATAGTTATCTGCTACGCTGTGTTGCTGGTGTTGGATGTCACAGCTCTGCTAGCGCTACAAAACATCATCAAAGGACTTTGTCGAAATCTTTTTGGCATGGCAATATAAAACCATATGTTAACAGTATACGATGTAACCAGAGAAATTTACAAAACTAATTTCCGGTCGATGTTGTCAGCCATATTGGTTCACCTGGGAAAAATGCTCTGTGGAATACACTGATAGTTGTCGGCAATTCCCCTAATATAAATACAAACATAATAAGAACCAGCATTAGTGTTGTTCTTGTCCTTATGCGTTGTTGGTCTGAGGACTGACTCGTTGCCATTGTCTTCCGGTTAACTAGTCAAACAGACGACCATGCAAAATGACACTATGCATCCAGGAACAAGGTGTAGGGCAAAAAATCTTATATACATATATATTTCAGGAAGTTCCAAAACCGTTTCATCATTTAGAATGTTGTTAACCTTACTGTTAAATGCAGTTGTGTTATCATCAAATATATGGATGATGCCATCGATATCATAAAACAAAAGATCTGGCATCTTTAACGCTATCATTGATACAAACGATACAATGACGCATATCGTTGTTGTCTTTAGTCCAAAAATTCGTGGTCCCAAAAATGGGAAAGCACAAATAACGCACCTGAATTGCAAGATACGTTCTACTTAGGATGGACAGGGAATGAAATACAAACGCCAGGATAGATGTCGTAATAACCACGTAACATGCCTTCACGCTGAGTAAACTTCCTCCTATGTAGGAAGCTATAACATTGGACGCACCAAAGATAATAGTAAGGGTGTCATGAAAGGCTATTATAGACAATAGAATAGATACCGGTGTTCTGTTTGACGGCTACTAGCGAATTGGTTGCCAGAACTCCGAATAACAATGTTCCCATAATAAGAACATCTACCAGCTTGAAAGTAAGGTAGTTGTACATTTTTCAAAATGTTCTAAAAATATTAATATTGATACTGCACTACACTATGAAGTATATAAATTAATATGTTATTCTTTTTATCTTTTGTAATTCTACTAATTTAATGAGATTAAAAGAGGAGGTTGTGCGCCCCTCCCCATACCCCACAACACATTCATATGCCTATTTTGAGGTTTAGGTAGATCTTGAGTAGTCTCCGTTAAATTTATTGATAACTTTTTCTTTAATTGGGTCGACTTTGAGCTTTGACATATTGAACATATATTTTAATGAAGACTGCGTTTTTCATCTAAGATGTCTTTTTCAATTTTTTGTCTATGGGTTGCTGACTTATTGAAGTGTTGTCCTGAAATATCTGTATTTCCTTTGCAGAAAATATACTCCTCTTTAAGAATTTTTGTGAGACAAAATAAAAAATAAAAAAATAATTAAATTCTTAGTTTAAGTTGCACGATGAAAAATAAATGGTTATTTCTTAATGTGTAATCAACGCATATTTTTCCTTCAATAACAAATGCAATTTCATATACTTATTGGCAATGATAAAGGGAATATTGATTAATATTATGGTATATATTAAAAAAGTGATTGTCAATATTTGGTTTCAAGTATAATCCAAAACCATTTAATAACAGTTTGTAACATCCTCCACATTTTCTTATGGGGTTTTCATTACCACATGTATTTTTATAGTTGTTTGTTTGTTCGTCGTTTTTCCTATGTCTTGCCATTGTTGGTTTTTCTTCGACTTCTGACTTTTAATGGTCTATGTTGTATATATCTTATGCCTATTTTTTAACAGATACTAGCCTGAAAAAAGATATTCATATGACAAACTGAACCGAAATCAAACAACCAAACAATAAAATACACCACCATCATCTTACTTTATAGTTTTACTCACAATAATAGTCTTATCTTTTAGTCAGACTTTACACATGGCAATATCTTAGAAAGTGTATCTCAATGAATATCATTAAAGCAAAGCAAATTTTATACCATTCAATAAAGAACGTCTTTACTGCTTTTGTGAGCTCGAGGAAACCAATTGTATTGAGCTTTTGCTGATGCCACAATAATAAATATTAAACTCATTATTTGTCAGGAAACACTACTGTAACAACAGCCCATGAAAAGGCCGTGAAATGTCTGTGAAATATCACAGGGCCGTGAAAACCCCGTGACAATACCCTGTGACTTTTGTAAAAAAAATATTTCTAAAGGCCGTGAAAAATATTTGATGTAAGTAAAAGACCGTGAAATTTCAATATCCCGTGAAAATGCCGTGATAATTTGTCCTTTCATGCTTAATAAAAAATATCACGGCCTTTTCACTGGTTGTTGAAACCAGTGAAAAGGCCGTGATATTTTTTCATGTCAATTTTTTCTTATCCTAATTCAGATTTAAAACATCCCATGTGATTATTGTAATATGGTCTAATTATTTCCACACACATTTTTCCAAATATCCTATAAACTTTTCATTATAAATATATGTCTGTTTAAATATTATTATATGCAATACTACTGTACAGGACTGACTTTTAAATGGAACCATTCATTGTTATAATTAATGACTTTGTGACAATTAATATTTTTTATTTAAAGAAAAGTATTTTGCTTCTCGTCTGTACATTATTATAAACAATGTAAATATTAATTTTAATTGGAACCGAAACATGTAAAAACGAGAACTTTCCGGAATATCAGGCCGTATCCGGATTCGTGTTTCTTTTAGAGTAATTGTAACATTTCCGCAAGGTTGCATTTGGAAATTTGAAAGACGCCGAAGGTAGTCTCGATCATCTAGCCGCTTTATTTTTCAAAGTATAGCGTCTGGTAGTCTCGATTACCCAGACGCATATATAAATATAGCGTCTGGGGTGATTAACCAGACTGGTCAGATATTTATAGGGGGCGTAACAAATAATTAAATATAGAACTTATTTATAAATAACACTTCCGTTATCTCCAAAATAATTTAAAAAAAACAGTAAGCAGTGTACTAGTATATGTATATGTGATTATTAAAACTGACATTCTAAGACTTGTAGCTCACCCTATTTTGCCCAACTTGATGATGGGCACTTTTAATAGAGACGTGATGTCAAATAAATAAAACGGCTTCAAATACCATTTCACACGTATTCTTGTCTCAGTGATTTATAAACATGTAATAGAGAACTCTAGTCAAAATAAAGCTTTTGGCTGTACTTACAGATTTCGGACATTTTTTTCGTTGATTAAAAGTACTTATAAGTTTTTTTTTTCATGATTTTTATCTAAGACTTTATCATAAACTACTTTTCGAGCTTAAATTTCTAAAAAAAACGATTACAAACTGTAATTAACGGTGTTCTTTTTTACCTGAATTTTGTACATGTACATTTTTTTTTAAAAGAAAAAATGAATTGGTAAAGAAAGGTCGAACTAGCATTCACAGACAGTGACTAGGTTCCACTCTTTGGGCTTTATAAAGTGTTATTGAAAATTTGTGTTTTAATGAAGCGTTGACCACACACACTTGTCCCGCTTTTTCTACTTTCACACATGAACTTCTTCTGTAAATGGATACATGTTTGATGGAACAAGATTCGAGGCAAGTATGTGTCAATCTGCTCTGATAGCCTAATGCAGTTCTTCGTTACGGTAAATATGAAACAAAAATGGTAAATATGATACAAAAACGGATGTAACAAGGTATGATATTTTCGTTGACCCCTAATATTGCAATTATCGGCCGGGAGGGTGGGGTGTGCCCCCTGGTTCCCCTTTAACTGGGTGCCTCAGTCGGCGGCACCCAAACACCTGCCTCGTCTAATTCTGAGGCCTAGTTACGGCCCTGTCTAAATGTTATAGCTCTCGTCATAGGCGGATCCAGTCCCCCCCCCCCCTTTTCGTGGGAAAAATTTGGTTGATAATATAGGGAATCACTGAAGCATGACTGTAGCGGCCCCCTCCCCCTTATAACAAGTTCTGGATCCGCCACTGCTCGTGTATTGAGGATACCACGCCCTCTGCGCGCTAAGAGAGGGGTCCGTATAGGTGGACAGTTGTACTTAAAGCTAAATGTGTGCCCCAATACAAAAAACTCTGATTTTCTAGTGAGTCATAACTTCTCCGACCTGTATCCCGAACGGCCTTTAATTCAGGACCTCCTTTTTATATTTATTGTTAATTTCTTTTCGTCCTGAACATTACCACTATTTACCACAAGACGATAACCAAGCAACCCTCAATCAATCTATTCTTATATTATAGCACACCACGTTATTTTCTTATCTTCGTACAATAAAATACCATTATTCTCTATTTTTCATATTATAGCACCCCACTATTCTCTGTTCTTCATATTGTATCACACCATAAGTCTCTATTCTTTTTTTTTTATCCATTTTTCTTAGTTTTGTCTCATTATTCTCATTCTGTAAATTTCTGTTATAATTTATGCTGTCCTTTTTATATATTCCTTCAGATATCTGATACACTTACCTTACAAAAAAGCACACACCAAGTTACGACTATGTAAAGAAAAACAACTCACACAAATACTAAGATTGCAAGTAGAAAAACTTCCTTAACAACTATTACCGGCAGGTTAGTGAGATCACACAATAAGCCAACTCAATTTTCATTTACAAAATTAACTGATCTTAACTGCAAACGACAGAATAGTCTGAATGTTTCTTAGCTGTTACACCAATAATCTATATCATCTAATCCTTTTGGAAGAAATTATTTACCTTCACACAATACCACTTTGCCAGTGTTACCCCGTGTCTATGAAGGAAATACAGAACTTAACCAGTCATTCATGAAACCCAATACTCTTTAAATGCATGTTTGTATCATGCACATGGAGAAGATGGAAAGGGATTTATCCCATACTGCATGGTAACTTGTAAAAAAAACAATAACTCAAAAGTGTATTCTACTTCTCCAACTATTATAATATCCATCATGTATTAGCATGCAATAAAGGACAGCTTCACAAGAACAATAACTTCTCCTGTGAACCTTTATATAAAAATAAGGAGATTGGTATGATTGCTAACGAGGCAACAACCCAGCAGAGTTCAAATGACGTGGATATAAGCAAATATAGTCACTGCACGGCCTTCAATATTAAAAAAAGTCCATACCATATAGTCACGATAAAAGGGCCTCGACATGAAAATGAGATATAATTCAAACCTGAAAACTAACTGTTTTATTGTTTATATGATTTTAATTTGTTAATACAAATCTTAATTCTCTGACATATCTGACAATAATGTGTTTCTTGATTTTTGTTTTGTTTACTTAATATACGTCTGTGTACCTTTTTTCCCTTTGTGGTTGCTACCAAAATAATGTTTATCCAACATTTTTGGTTCTGTGATTTATTTATACTGATTGATGCTTCAGTATTTAAAAAAAATCTTTGAATCTTGTTCTTATAAAATTGAAGTTGTTTAAGCATGATACAATGAAAATCCTGAACATTATATATTTTTTTAATTCTTCACATTTTTCACATAAAATCTGTGTCCAGAAATCATCATTGGTTTGTCTACAAAAGAAAGTAAATATTAAAATCATTATAATTTTTGATCACCTGCATAGCATATATGAAAAACAAATTGTTTGAAAAAAAACACCATAGAAATATATTGTATAAATTATTGTACTGGGGCAAGCTGAATCCTGCCTCGGAGTGCGAGATTTTCTCGCTGCGTTGAAGACCCATTGGTGACATTGGGCTTTTTCCTGCTCTTTGGTCGGGTTGGTGTCTCTTTGACACATTCCCTGTTTCTATTCTCTATCCAAACCATGCATGGGTTTTTTGCATTGTTGAAGGCCACACAGTTGCCTATAATTGCTCACATCCACTTCATTTGAAGTTGGGTGGATAGTTGTCTCATTGGAATTCATACCGCATCACCTTATTTGTATAATGTTGACATTTTGGTACTTTTATCTTCACTTTTTGTTTTAGTCTACGTGATGACCTCTTGATCATGTTGATATCTACTTTTTGTAATTTATGTCATTGGGTTCACCGGTTGCTGCTTCATTGACACCTCATTTCATTGATACTGAATCTATTGTTTTATTTTCATTGTTTTTCTCGTGCCATGGTTTTGTTCAGTATTAAAAAAAATACAGGTTTAGATAGCCACTTGCAACATTTTTATTCATTTATGAACTTTTTGTGTGTGAAAAAAACGCCTTTTAATAGTGCAATAAAAGTGCAAAAAATGTATTTTTCTATTTTAAGTTGACCGGTCCAAACTGTATATTTAGATTTTTAGATAGTGAAATATGAGTTAAACGAAATTACTTTGCATAACAACGTGTCCCACTTCTTATCTGTATTGTATAAGCTAAATGCATTTGTTGAAAAAAAAATCGAGTATAAAACATTTTGACCGTTTGGTGTATGTACAAAATGGCATCTTCTAGATACACTTTGTTTGTTTTTCTTTCACTTATGGTTTTGGATTGCGTTCCCTCCTTTGAATGTGTACATCATTGTGTATCTCTCCTCCCCCTTTTTACACAAATCAAGATGCAAACTCCCTTATACAGATAGATACAACAAACTAATCTTGAAGGTCATATTTCGGCGTCATAGCACTTTTCCATCAAGAATTTATAACGTTAAAGATACTACATATCAACCCTAAAATGTATTTATAGCGTGTACGACTGTTCGAGTGGTCCCAGTCAATACAACAATTGCCATTTATTATATAATTATTAACTCATTTGCATAGCACGGACATGCATGAAATAATTTAACTACTCGATGTATCAGGTTGCATTGAAATTTATGTTAGAGTTTGTGTTATTATATCATCTTACCAAGGTTGGATGTGCTGTTATTTTTCTTCGCGGCCATGAAAGCCATGTTGTCTGGTGTTTTCCATGACTTGTATTTCGTCACAAAAAAAAATATAAATAGCTTTAAACAACAATCGATACACTCGGGCTTTTCAATAATATTATCGTAATGTCATTTCTTCCGAAGACAATAACCAACTTCTTGGTTATTCGTCTTGGACATTATCCTTAAAAACAAGCTAAAAAAAGCCGATACTATTCCGATTGTCATAAATTACCATTTTTATATCATTTGTCATCCAGACGCTATACTTTGAAAAATAAAGCGGCTGGATGATCGAGACTAAGCGTCTGGATGACAAGTGATATAGAAATGGTAATTTATGACAATCGGAATAGTATCGGCTTTTTTAGCTTGTTTAAATGGATAATACCCAAGACGAATAACCAAGAAGTTGGTTATTGACTTCGGAAGAAATTACATTACGATAATATTATTGAAAAGTCCGAGTGTTTCGATTGTTGTTTGAATTAGTCGAATGACGTCGTTTAAAGCTATTTTTATTTGTTTGTGACGTTATACAACGCATGGAAAACACCAGACAATATGGCTTGGCCACGAAGGAAAATAACAGCACAGACAACCTTGGGCTTGGTAAGATGTCATAACAATACAAACTGTAACATAAATTTCAATGCAACCTGATACATTGAGTAGTTATATTTTTTCATGCATGTCCGTGCTATGCAAACGAGTTAATTGTTATACAATTAAATGACACATTTTGTATTGACTTGGACCACTCGAATAGTCGTTCATGCTATAAATACAATTTGGGGTTGATATGTAGTATCTTTAACTTTATAAATATTTGATGAAAAGGGGCTATGACGCCGAAATATGAATTTCATTCAAGATTATATTGTTGTATCTATCTGTATAAGGGAGTTTGCATTGATATGTGTAAAAAAAAAGGGGGGGAGAGGAGAGATTCACAATGATATACATATTCAAAGGAGGGAACGCAATCCAAAACCATAAGTAGAAGAAAAACAGACAAAGTGTATCTAGAAGATGCCATTTTGTATATACACCAAACGGACAAAATGTTCTATAATGGATTTAAAAAAAAACATATGCACTTTGCTTAAACAATACAGATTAGAAATGGGACACGTTGTTATGCAAAGGAGATGCGGTATGAATGCCAATGAGACAACTATCCACCAAAGTTCAAATGAAGTGGATGTGAGCAATTATAGGCAACTGTATGGCCTTCCAACAGTGAGAAAATCACCATTCCGGAGGCGGGATTCAGCTTGTCCCTTGACACTAATTTATACAATATATTTGTATGATGTTTTTTTTCTCGAACAATAATTTTTTTTTTTTATATATATGCTATGTTGGTGACCAAAGTTGATATGATTTTAATATTTATGTTCTTTTGTAGACAATCAATGATGATTTCTGGACACAGATTTTATGTGATAAATGTCAAGAATTAAAAAAAAATAATGTTCAGGATAGTCATTGTATCATGCTTAAAAAGCTTCAATTTTATAACAATAAGATTCAAAGAATTTTTTTTTAAATACTGAAGTATAAATCAGTATAAATAAATCACAGTACCAAGAATGTTGGGTAAACATTATTTTGACAGCAACCACAAAGCCAAAAAAGATACACAGACGTATATTAAGTCTATAAAACAAAAATCAAGAACAGCATTGTTGTCAGACATGTCAGAGCATTAAAATTTGTATTTACAAATTAAAAATCATACAAACAATTAAACAGTTAGTTTTCTCGTTTGAATTGTATCACATTTTTTATGTCACGCCCTTTTATAGTTGACTATACGATATGGAGTTTATCAATATTGAAGGCCGTGCAGTGACTATATTTGCTTATATCCACGTCATTTTAACTCTGGTGGGTTGTTGCCTCTTTAACAATCATACCATATCTCCTTATTTTTATATAAAGGTTCACAAGAGAAGATATTGTTCTTGTGAAGCTGTCCTTTCTTGCATACTAATACATGATGGATATTAAAATTATAGTGGAAAGTGATGGAGATCTGAAACATAAATCAGTTAATTAATAACAATCATAAGGATATTCCTCTAGAGAAGTAGAATACGTTTTTGAGTTGTTGGTCTTTTTACAAGTTACCATGCAGTATGGGATAAATCCTATTCCATCTTCTCCATGTGTATGATACAAACATGCATTCAAAGAGTATTGGGTTTCATGAATGACTGGTTAAGTTCTGTATTTCCTCTATGGACACGGGCTAACACTGGCACAGTGGTATTGTGTGAAGGTTGGTTCATAAATTTGCTCTTCCCTAAAGGATAAGCCCAGGGGCGTAGCTACCCGGAGGCACGGCAGCACGTGCATCCACGTCGTTTTCACAAAAAAAAAAAAAAAAAAAAAAAAAAAAAAAAATCGTAAGGGTTCCGCGGAACCCAGTGTCTCGCCTACTTTTGCTGTTAATCACAGGCTCAAGAAAAATGAGGAAAAAAATTAATATAAATATTCCTCTCTATACTATCTTTTGATTGTAAGTAGCTTCTGTCCAAGTTTGGTGAAAATCCAGGATAGTTTATGAATCTAATAAATGTTTTAAAAACTTAAACTGCAGACTGTTATGTAATGTTAACTGGAAGAAAAACTAAGTCCATTTATAAGTAAAATACGGAAAAAATGGAACAAAATTTTAACAAAATTTCCTTTTAGATACTAGCTTTTAATCATAAACAAGCTTCTGTCCAAGTTTAGTACAAATCGAGGATAGTTTAAGAAAGTTGTTAAAATTTTAAAAACTTTAACCACAGAGTGAATGTAATGTTAACTGGCAGAAAAACTAAGTCCATTTATAAGTAAAATACGGAAAAAATGGATTTTTTTTTTACAAAATTTACTTCTGGATACTATCTTATGATCATAAACAAGCTTCTTTCCAAGTTTGGTACAAATCCAGGATAGTTTAAGAAAGTTATTAAAATTTCAAAAACTTTAACCACAGAGTGAATGTAATGTTTCCTGGCAGATAAACTAAGTCCATTTATAAGTAAAATACGGAAAAAATGGATTTTTTTTTTACAAAATTTACTTTTGAATATTATCTTATGATCATAAACAAGCTTCTGTCCAAGTTTGGTAGAAATCCAGGATAGTTTAAGAAAGTTATTAAAATTTCAAAAACTTTAACCACAGAGTGAATATTTGTGGACGCCGCCGTCGACGACGACGACGACGACGACGCCGACGGAATGTAGGATCGCTATGTCTCGCTTTTTCGACAAAAGTCAAAGGCTCGACAAAAAGAGAGAGAGAGAGAGAGTGAGGGACAAAGTTAACATATAGGAATTGGTCTTTCTATGTATGCATTTTAAAAACTACACAAAGAATAAAAGCAAGAGGAATACACATGCAGCGGAATTTTTAATCCTGTAAGACATGTATGTGTACGTAAATACATACAACTGGAGTAAACTTAGAGGAACTTTTTATATTACGGGCATTGTTTAGAAAATACCAGCTACATAGTTGTTGGTACCACAACCATACCGTATACTCGCTTTGAGTGTAAAAAAAAACATAATCCCTCTAGGGTTAACAAAACAACTTGAAAATTATTATTTTCCGCTTCGCCCCAAAGCACACATCTTACTAGAATGAAGACTCTTCAACTCGTATCGATCCGGGAATAATGACTGTAACCTTGTGAACTAGTTCAATATTGACTAAGTATGTAGGTCTTGACAACACGAATAGTTCTTTTTCACATCACGTCAACGTATCTCGTCCTGTGTGCATGTAATATTTGCTACCGGACATTAATAACCATTCAATCAATCAATAGTTTCCGTATACTAGTAGATGAGAAGTTGGAACTACTGTTATTATAAAAAAAAAGTACACATTTTCCAGTACATGTTTTACGTTTTTATTTATTTTACCAAAAAAATCTTTTATATAGATTCGATAATTCGAAGTCGTTTCTATATGGGCAGGCTATACGAATGGTTGATTGTAAAACCATTTAAATAAATTGTTAATTCTAACTCGTTTTACTGGACTATTAGGTCATTCAATTTTAAAAAGAACTGTCTGTCCGAGTAGGACACTAAACTGCTGATTCTTGTTCGAAAGATACACCAAACTTTTATTACACGTATCTTCACTGTTATCATCTAGATATTGCCATACAACTGGTCGAATGCATATGCATTTGTTAATTAGCTGGCTAATTAAAACCGCAGATCATGAAAAAGATCGTGATCAAAGTACCATTTACTCTGAAAAAGTTCATTAATTTCAACTTCGAATATGCCTTACTACGTAAAATTCGAAATTCCCATCTCTCACGCTCTTGTAGAGTTCACCCACAAAATTTTTAAACATCTAAATACATATGTTAAGCAAAATATATGAGAATGTGTCCACCAAGTATTTGGTATCCATGATGTTTTGCTAACAGAAACTCCACATATAGTATTGTGTTTATGTTTATTGTTTGTTTTTTTAAATCTACTTTGCTAAATACAAATACTAGCATATGGAACAAATCTCCGTGATTTTAAAAGCTTTCACGTACAAAAAACGCAAGCGACAATGTTAAGTCTTCATTCGACTCGAAGTTAAACAAATAGTTGACCAAAAAACCACAACAAAAATGTCCAAGTTTTATTTCGGTTGTGATTGTTTTGAAACGCTATATATGCGGAGCTTCCTGGCCCTCCTACCAGGGCTTTGCCCTGGACCTACTGGCGGCCCCCAGACCCTTCGCCCTATAGTTTGTGATTCCACTTCATTAAGAAGGTAGCTACGCCCCTGATTAGCCGATACTATTCTGTCGTTTGCAGTTTATTTTGTAAATGAAAATTGAGTTGGCTCATTGTGTGATCTCACTGATCTGCAAGTAATAGCTGTTGAGGAAATTTTTTTACATTGCATTCTTAGTATTTGTATTAGTTTTCTTTACATAGAAGTAACTAGATGTGTGTTTTTGAAAGGTAAGTGTATCCTGAGACTGCTATAACACATATAGTAGTCTCAGGTGTATCAGATATCTGAAAGAATATATAACAAGGACAGCATAAATTATAACAGGAGTTTCAGAAATGAGAATAATGGGAAAAAACTAAGAAAAATGGACCACAAAATAAAGAATAGAGACTAATGGTTTGCTACAATATAAAAAATAGAGAAAAGCGGTGTGCTATAATATGAACAATAGAGAATAATGGTGCTTTATAGTATGAAAAGAGAATACCGTGGTGTGCTAGAATATAAGAATACATTGATTGCTGGTTGCTTGGTTATCGTCTAGTGGTAAATATATTGCATACATGTTCAGGACGAACAGAAATTAACAATAAATATAATAACTATTATTAAGTATAAAAAAAGAAGATGTGGTATGATTGCAAATGAGACAACTGTCCACAAGAGACCAAATGACACAGAAATTAACAGCTATATGTCACAGTACGGCCTTCAACAATGAGCAAAGCCCATACCGCGATGATAGTCAGCTATAAAAGGCCCCGAAATCACAAATGTAAAACAATTCAAACGAGAAAACCAAGGTCCTGTAATAGAGGCCGTCCGGGATACAGGTCGGAGAAATAATGACTGCAACCTGCGAATGGGCAGAAATTTAGCCTTTAGTACAACGGTCCACCTACGAAGCCCTCTCTTAGCGCATAGAGAGCGTGGTATCTTCTATACACGATTGCTATAACATTTAGAACAGACATCCACGTTATATATTGAAAAACTTGGACTGATCATGTATGAGCATTTACCAATTCATTTTTTTCTTTTTTTTAAACATGTACATGTACAAAATTCAGGTCAAAAAGGTCACCGTTAGTTACAGTTTTTTAATCGTTTTTGTAGAAATTTAAGCTAGACAAGTAGTTAATGATAAAGTCTTTTAGATAAAAATCATGGCAAAAAAAAATGATGAAAACTTATTATAAGTATTTTTAATCAACGGAAAATATCCGAAATCTGAATAAGTACGCGGTGTAAAGCTTTATTTTGACTATAGATCTTAAATAAATATTTTTAAACCACTGAGACAAGAATACGTGTGAAATGGTGTTTGAAGCCGTGTTATTTATTTGACATCATGTCTATTAAAAATGCATATCACTGTTAAGTTGGGCATCACTGCGTGAGCTACAAGAACATAGAATGTCAGTTTAATAATCACATAAAGATATACTAGTACACTGCTTACTGTTTTTTGTTTTTTTTTTATTATTTTGGGGATAACGGAAGTGCTATTTATGGATGATGTTCTATATTTAATTGTTTGTTACGCCCCCTATAAATATCTGACCAGTCCGGTTAATCAACCCAGACGCTATATTTATATATGCGTCTGGGTAATCGAGACTACGCCGAAGGTCGATTAATATTTACTTTATAGATGCAAGACGAGTGACAGCAAGTTTGAGGTAAGTTAAGTTATTAATATTTTATTCTTTTATGCATCATATCACCAAAATGTTGATGACGTTTGTGAGGATTTACATTGAACTGATTTTCACTGAATTTGCAGAAACCGCGCAAACATGCATGTGATATATTCACTTATATTTGAGTCTGTTGCACTTGATTCCTTTAATCATTTCGGTTAATGTTTTCTAAGACTTACCGGATCCTTTAAATACTATTACGGTTTTGTTTTGTTTATGTATTTGGGGAAAAAAGGGGGGTCCTTTTTCCCCACACTGGCCACATAAAAAAAATGACATTTATATACAGTACACCACGTAGACATAGACATAGATAATTGGAAATGATTATAATAGCAATAAGTATCTCTGAAATGGAGTTCACTCTGATAATCAGAGGCGTAACCCCCTTTGAATGTGTCGGGAGCTATTTAAGTATTTTCTGACTTGGCCGTCGGGACACATAGTTCGAAAGGGATTAATCAGAGGTGTAGCAGGGAAAGTATTTAATATTTGTACGGCAAAATGTCCTTTCTAGAAGGGTTTGTGCCATATCATAAGAATAATTGGTATGGCAATGAGGTGTTTAAAAAATAATTGGTATGGCGAATGTGCCTGCAGTAAAAGTTACCTGTAAAATAAATAGCTGTGACTCATTACCGCCACTTAGTCTAGACAAGTTTGGCTTTAGCCATACATATTATTACTTCAAAGAAACGTTTAAATTTAATAGTCTGTCTTAAAAGTGTCTTCAAAAAAATCTTAAAAAAATAATACAAGTTGACAATACAGAACTCCGTTAACTAATGATGCCATATATATTGGATAGGGGCCGATTTTCTGGAAAATGGTATGAGAATATGGGAAAACCTATGCATGTTTCCAAGTGGCTGTTCTGTTTCAGTGATGTTTTTTAGTATTTTTCATACCATTTTCACCTCCAGTATGAAAATCTGCCCCCTATTCAGTATGGGGTCATTAACCGTGAAGTCCTGTATTGCATGGAATAATATTGTAGCTGTTTTAAGTACATGTTTGTATATAAATGCCAAAAATTAATTTGAATATATAAATAGTTTTTTTATATACATGTATAATATATGTAATGTTTCTTTATTTATTCTAGGAATGAAGAGCAAAAGGATATAGCAGTCTTTATATAAAATAGTTCATGAATCCAGTTGGAAAGAAGAGCTTTTCAGTTAAAAGTATTTCCTGGGAATTAACAGGAACTTCTATAAATGTTTTTCTGGAATAGTTATTCAAAAGGGCAGTGAAGTGAAGGATTACATTAGACAAATATTGCTGAAGTGGCCACGGTAAAATCAGACCCAAGAGATGTACAAAATTTCTACAATACATGTTACAGCTGACTTTAGCTACGTATATATACTTAAATCACATTGACATTTGTGTGCTTTTATGTTTTCTTTACATAATTACTACAGTTCTATTAAAATTAATATTTTTATTCTTTGTCACAATTATTACTAAAAAAAATACAGCATTTTAATATGGTTTTTCATAGTCTCACTTGCATTGTACTTAAATAAGTTGTCTGTAGATGTTTACACTAGGTTTTCAGGCATTTCACTTCACTTGATTGAAACAGCATTTAATTTTTTTGTTAAATTATGGCCTGAAAAATACATTTAACATTTTACAGGAGTTTTCACAATCAGAGAATGGCTGTTTATCACAGTAGTACATTTCACGGTCTTTTCACAATGGGCACATCATTTATCACGACTTTTTCACGGTGTACATTTTTGTTTTTCACAGGGTTTCTACGGTCTCTTTACCCAAGTTTTCAGTTGGCACCTTTTCACGGCCTTTTCACGACAAATAAAGGCATATACTGTACTATATCTACATTTCAGGATCTTTTCACAATGGGCACATAATGCATTATCACGACTTTTTCACGATGTACATTTTTTTTCACAGGGTTTCTACGGTCTTTTCACCCAAGTTTTCAGGTGGCACCTCTTCACGGCCTTTTCACAACCTTTTCACAGCCTTTTCACGACAGTCATTCCACGGCATTGTCACGGATAACTTTCACGGCCCACCGTAAAATTAACCGTGACAAACACTGTAAAAATCACCAGCATTTTTACGGACATTTCCACGGCTAATCTACGGGGCATTGTTCCAGTAGTGAAATTCTAACCAATGACATTTATCAGAACATTCCAATGTTAGCAATTGTATATTTCTTTTACTAGAATGTATAATTGCTTCATAATTCTTATATGTTACGAGACATACAGAGAAAAGGGTAAATTAGTATATGTATAACTGGTCCAACTACAACTGTCCAAGTCTGGTAAAGGATACAGCCATCCAAATCTGTTTAAGCGTAGATCTGTAAGAATATGTTCCGCAGTACATTTCTAAATGAAGTATATTAGAACAGCTCTCTAGTCTGATGTGAACATCGGTAAACTACTGTCGCCTTAATATAGAACAGTTCTATTCGTCGAGGAGTCAGTGGTAGACAACTGGAATTTATCTGTATGACATATGTTAAATGTAAGATTAAAATAGTAAAACCTGAGACTACTACAGCACTAAAACATTGAACAATATAAATTTAAACTTTTCCTAGCATGCAGTATGTGACTTTAAAAATAGCATGGTAATTGCAAAAATATGGTGCACATTGGTCAGATTGTATTCTTTAAATATATTTCAAAATATCTTTTTTTTGCATTATTGTTGTTACACATCTGTTTATCTTGTTTGCAATTACCATGCTATTTTTCAAGATACAAATTGTGCAAAATTGTCAAGCTCCAAATAATGAACAGGCGAAGACACATTTGAGTTCAACGAAAAAAGCTAAAAGACAGAATTTTGATATTAGGGAAGATTTGGGAGGGGTGTGTTCTTAATCAAAACCTATAGATTGTTTTGAATATGATTTGCCAAAATGTAGTTTTTATCATGCTTTTTCAAAAATATAACAAAAAATATGGGTTATGGGGCTTTTTGTACGCTAGAGGTTGAGCAAAATTGTCAGATTTTGTATAGATTATACATGGAATACCCAATTTTGTGTGATAGAAAGAAAACTAAACGATAGAATTCTCAGATAAGATATGAGAAGATAGCTCTTATAATGTGTTTTCAAGAAATAACGAGAAAAATTGGGGTCACGGGACAAAACCAAAATAGGTAAATTCATATCACATTCCTTTATAAAAGTTACAATATTTAAGTTATCTACACTCATATGGCAAATTTGAAAAAAAAGTATTTAAAAAAATATCCGGTATTTGTAAAAAATAAACAGTCGTAAAAATATGATAAAACACGTAATATTTTCATTCAGATGAAAAGTCTTAAAAATGAAAAACAACCTTTTTGTAAAAATTTGCACATTTAATTAAAGACCTGGATGGATTGTTTCCTGCTAGTTGACATTCAAAGATAAGATACCCAATTAACCATAAATATAGAAAACAAGTTTTGTTTAAAAAAATTTAATAAGAAAAAGACAAGCGTTCTCCATTACCTTCTACAAACATATTATACAACTGTAGTAGTAGAGTATTCTATAATAATTGTAAGTGTCGCTGTTTTTAAATACTCATTTGCAATCAAACAATTTACAAATTTCATTTACACACACTATGGAAGTATATTGCAAATCATTCTCTAGTTTTTAAATTTTAATCAAAATACGAACCTGTTATTTGAGGATCAAGATATCCTAATAATTTATTATCTTAATGATGTTTTCTTTTATAGATATTTTAAGACTTTGCAGTTTATTTTTTTGTTCACGGTCATATTTATTTGGTTTTATGCTGATTAACCACAATCCTTATTGGAAATTATATACGCGTTTCATTTGTATGCAAAGTATGGATGTTATTAGTCCTGAACAGGATTTGTGAGATTTTCAACGAGATTGTCTGTTGAATTATGTGTTTTTTTCAATTTTTTTCCAATTTTTAAGAAATCATTTTGTTTTGAAAAATATTTTAATAGTTTAGATGAAAAAGATTTTTTGACTTCATGTAAATTTAGAATAAATTATGTAACCATAAACATCCAGTCGAACTTGGAAGATGGTACAATATAGAAAGGGAAAAAGAATTTGTAATTTATGCAATCTAGACATTGGAGATGAATTTCATTACATTATAAATTGTTCACATTTTATAGAAGAAAGAAATAAATTCAAAAATCAAAATTTTAATAGAAGTCCAAATATTCTACTATTTACTGAAATTCTGTCTACAAATAGGACAGATCTCATAATTTTATTTAAGTTTATACGAATTATAAACAAAAGGGTGTGTCCTCCTAAATAAATTGAAATTGTTTTGGTTGTTGTTGAATATATTGTATATTTATATTTATGTATTTTATGTAATGTATTACATGTCTTCTCTGTACCTATGTATTTGGTGATGAGAATAAAGATATATATATATATATCTAAGTTTAACGGTAGGTAGGTGAATCCGACAAAATCTTTAAAAACATGCCTTATCTTTTTTAATATGTTGATGCAATTCAACTTTAAATAGAATTTGTATTTTAATTTTTTTTCAATTCTTCAAAACGGATTTAGTGATAGTTTGATTCCTCTACTTAAACATTTAGATATTTGTGTGTGAAATCACGAAATGTACAAAAACAGAAACAGAGCAATCACACATAAAGTAGTAATAGAGAAAATCACGAAAGAAACCTAACTTATACATAATAGAAAATAAATGATATGGGGTATTCATCTATGACACAAACTCAATATATGCACAGCAAAAAACACAAACACCTTTTATTGCTGTTCTTCATCTCAAAATCACAGTGAAAACTTCAACCCGGAGCAAAACAACTCTCATTTCACTGCAAGTTAAGACGCCCCTATTCTATCGTTTAATTTCTTTCTTTCACACAAAATTGGGTTTTCCATGTATAATCTGTACAAAATCTGCCAATTTTTCACAACCTGTAGCTTGATAAAAGCCACACGACCCACACTTTTTATCATATTCTTTCTAACAAAATGATATTAACTACGTTTTTGGCAGATTATTTTAAATCTCTATCGAGTTTCATAATGGTACCAGTCTTGTAATACAACTCCAGTTTCCGGTGCATGTCAAAACATGGAGTAAAATAAAATTGTCCATTTTTTCTGAATATTTTTCTGGACTCATTTTTTTTCTGTTTGTTTAAAAGTTTTTGCTGAATTGAAACATATATTTAGATTTAAAAAAAATCTTTTTGGGGATAGCAAACCAGGAAAATGGAAGGATATCATGTTTACTGGGAGTGGTGCGGCCTAGTAAAAACAGCAAACAGAAAGTAGAAAATATAGTTTTGAAGTCAGGGTTACATTACTTTTCATTCTTCGTAGCATGACCCACTTTTTTCGATTAAATTAAAATTTCACATTACTACATACATGATATGCACATGAAACAAATTTTCAATGTAGCATTTTATTTTAAAAAAAAATTCAAAGATCAGCTGTTTTGCATGTAAGCCTATGAAGCAGTCAATTGCAACCTAATGATGTACACTTAACGTAAGTATCAGACGTATTAGTAATGGATCATGGTGCAAATGCATTATCTCCCCTTTACCACAAGTAGTGTACGTATGTATTCGAGAGTACATGGGGTAAACATAATATCGCTTGTGTGTTTTTTACTGAGCGATAAGAAGTATCAACCTCAACGTACTTCCAATAACTGAACGCCAGTTTTGAACAAAATAACATATAATTAGATACTTTCCCAAATTAAGATACCAATCAGTACAAATCAAACCAAATTTAACATAAAATACATTATACAATATACAAACTCAAAAAATTAATTGGAGAAAAGTGGTTATAGTTAAAAATTAATGGCATGTTTTCATAAATTACTATCAAGAGATATTTGCATAGCTTACTCGATATAAAGATCTATCGGCAATGTAACTTAGATCAACGGCCAGACGGAGCACCCGAAAAACTTGTCGTAGAAGAATCCGCTAATAAGCAGAATGTCTAACATATTGTGTTATTATTTTTAACTTCAATTCACGGCTGTCATTTGGTATATCGAGAAAGAATACCTAACGGTGGTCAAGGTCAAGCATTGCGACCAGATCGTGAAAGATCTGGTATCGGATCGTGAATGTAGTTAATTGTAATTTTACTTCAAAATCTGTGAAAAATCTGCTGTACTTTCAAAACGCGGAACAAATCAGGAAAAAAAATATGTCTGTCAAAATGATTCAACTTTTTCAATAATACTGTGCAATAAGATAAAGAAAATATGCAATACTTTATGAGAAACACAAAAGGCGCAACACAAGTCTATGGGATTCATTAAAAAAAAATCACGTTTTGTACC